AAAGTATGTGTGGTTCCCCTCAGTACTGAAGTGCATCTGTACTTCGTAATAAACATACTGTCGAGGGTAACATGAACTTGTACCAACAAATACTATGAAAGTCTAACATGAAATTGTGGACATGGATAACAAAGAAAAATTCATTAAAACTTTAACACAGACAATGTTTGGAGAAGGTTTTAACATTATCAGGAAACTAACATAACGTGGGAACCACACATACTTTGTTATTATCAGGAAACTAACATAACGTGGGAACCACACATACTTTGTTATTATCAGGAAACTAACATAACGTGTGTATTAGCATACAAGTACTAGCGAACCCGTGGGCTCACATTTACAGGGTCGCTATAATGCAAATATAATGCTTGAACTACTATTTTGCACTTTTTCAATTTAATGATTACTGCTGTAACACAAATTTAATTTATTTACCCATGTTACAAACGGTAATTAGTAGGTCTACTTATTTACGTGCTCTAATGTAAACCAATGCTAAATTGGGGTCCGCTTTCCGGGAATTCCGGTAAAAGTGTTTTCTCGAAATAACCAGGTTCCCTAAGGGGTTGGATGGAAAGTTTTACCCATGTGCAAACCTCGAGACTAAGACAATACGTTTGGTGCCATTTAGAAGTCAGCGATTTGGGAGGAGTTATGTAACACATACACAGACACCGAATCTTATTATATAGATATCTGCCATATAAGAGTGGTTTGATTTATGCTTCAAATAATTTATATAAATTATTAAAGACTATTAAGATTTTTTAACACTTTCTGGTTGTGTAATGAAAAAATCATCTTCCCTTCCACTTCATTTATAATACTTGTATACCAGAGTTCATACAACTTCCTGTGACAAGGCAAAACAAAAAACAACTTAGTCTGACTTAAGCTGAAAGTTAAACCAAGAAAATTAACTGCAGTAGAAAAATACAAAAAAATATAACACGTTACACTTCAATGCCTCGAGCCCTAGACTTTAGAACATAATAACGTCAGTAGTGAAATCAAAATTCACCAGTATTCAGGGTTCCCTAGTTGCTCAGAGGAAAATCTCTAGACTTATACGCTAAAAACGGGGTTTCGCTAACCGTGATGGGAATAGCACAGAAAGCCCATTGTGTATCTTTGTGCTTAACTAAGAAATACAAACAAACCAGTATTCAGAACAACCCTTAAAAATTAATAATCGGTTTAAATGACTGTTTCTTTAACTCTCCTTCTATTATAATTATTTATACTTTCATAGTCATTTAAGTCATAGATTAAGAAAGAATAATATCAACTGACCTTCTGTAATTGGAAACGTTTTATTTTGTATATTTGTTGGAAAATCCAAGATTTCTTCTTTAAGCTGGAAATGAAAGACAGTAATATTTGAAACTAGCAGAGACTCGCAAAACATTTGCAGTCAAAGTAATATCTTTATAGCAACAGCACTTCTTTAAATACAAGATTTCTAGGATAATACAAAATGATTCTAATATTAAGCAGACACGAAATCTATAAGTCCACTTATCCTAGGCCTCACATTAGCTGAGCCTTTATGAAGTACAGCCTATATTCGATAAAGAGATAAATAAACACTGTAACTTGTGTACGTTTTTTGCTTTATTTTGTTAGGACTCAATTTTACCATACTTAATCCTTTCAATAAATAAACTCACAATGCTATTCTACGACCTAACGTCAGCTCTTTTTAAAAACTTTGATAAGCTTATAACATATTGATGTACAAAGCGTCTACTAAAGTATATTTATATCTGTTGAAATAAGGTGCGTTCGCATGCACATTTAGATAGGTGCGCGCGCATTTTCAGGAAAGACAGAAACCATCTATTATTACAATATATAATTCATAACTAAAATCCTGACGTCATAACGAATGGTATTCTCTTTTAACACTAGCCTCGAGATGTTGCAGAGAAAGAAAAATACAAATTATTTCAAATAAAGGTTTCACCAAGGTTAAAATTAACATAATTCACATACCTTCATTACGTATCTAAATATTATTCCACATTATACTGGAACTTGATCCGGGTTTTTTGGTGGGTTAAAATAGTATCTTATCCTCTGTCACTGGACTGGGTATGTTTTTTTGAACAGAAGGTACTGAAGAAGGATGTTCGCTCAAAACATTGCGGAGTAGTTTGTTCATTCTAAAATTATTTTCAGGATAGCACATGAAGTTGAGTTGGAGACTAACAATGCAACAGAAGTCCATTAGTAAGATATAAAATAACATAATCTTACACTTACCAGTATAGTTTTGTTCGCAACCTTAAAGTCACGTAATTCTTCATATTCGTTCAACTTCCCATTCAGATCAAACTGCAGTAGAAAAATACAATAAAAATATAACACGTTACACTTCAATTCCTAGACCTTAGGACATCATAACATCAGGTGTACTGACATAACGTGTCAGTTTGTATAAATACTGAGAAGTTTCATAAAACTAACATCCTAACGTCAGTGGTACTGGCATACTGTATTAGTATGTACGAAACACTCAGGATCTGTAAATTCGGTATTCTAAAGATCTGTTGAAACAAGCTTTGACAACCTTGAAAGACAGTTTAATATACCATCTAGATGAAACATTTTGCACCAAAACATGCAAACGTAAAACTTTCATTGTCTAGTAATAAAGTTTTCTAAATAATTTTTTTGTGAAGTTATATAGCATAAAAGTGTAAAATACGCGGTATTTCCATTGTATTCCACAGACGGTTAACATGTATAGCTCGTCTACATAGTCAGCAAAATAACATACAAAGATATCAGTATTTACAGTTATCTGTACTTCGTAATAAACATACTGTCGAGGGTAACATGAAGTGAGAACAACACATAACTCATCTGTATAATTAGAAAAATAACTTACAGCAATATCAGTACTGAAGTGCATCTGTACCTCGTAATAAACATACTGTCGAGGGTACCATGAAGTGAGAACAACACATAACTCGTCTGTATGATTAGAAAAATAACTTACAGCAATATTTTAATGAATGAATATATTTAATAAAATCGTAAATTTATTCAAAGTATTGATTTTTGCCTCTGTGTATTAGCACACAATGTTGTTTATTACAGGCTAGATAGAATGTTGTCTATTAGTACCCAAACAATGTTGTCTCACTACATAATATTCTTTATTACCGACCAGAATTATGTTATTTATTACTGACCACTTTATTCAATTTTAGTTGCTTTCTCCAATTTTGTTATTAACTCAAAATGTACAAAAGTCCCAGAGAATACAATTTATTTTGGGGGAACTTCAGTGACACTCCAAAGTTAAATTACTATATTACTGGGATTAAATCGCTAAACACTGTTGTATTAAAGGTTCTCTGACGGCAAAACTCTACATTGAAGACGTTATAATGACGTAATGAAATAAACACGCAGAGGGTTACGGTTTTCCTTATGGTTTGTCAAGGTCGTTACGAGAACAAAGCCGAGAATTTTGACGAGTAAACAAAGCAGATTCTCTTCATTCATTCTACACCTAACTACAGCCATTACATAAGTCATCAGGCTGTTAAATATAGAGATCCACACACAAATATAACTTATTAAACCTCACTCCTTTCAATGGTCAGGTTTGATAGTGCACTTTAAACAAGAAAATAAGTGGGATAATGGGCGATAATAGAGGTTTTTAGGCCTATATTATAGTTAACAGCCAGCTCTATACTTTACATCTCGCTGTATATGAACAAACCTATTCCATATAACTTCGAGCTGCCCCTTCTCATTATATTCCGGTGTTTATGTTTCAGAAAATATTTACAATACCCAGGACTTAAAATAAGATAGGCAATGGTAACTGCTTATATAGATTTGGTGCACATGGATTTTCAGAACGCATTTGACAATGTGCCACATAAAAGGCTTGTAAAAAAAGAATTCTATATAGGTGTGGGAGATAAGTTAGCTAATTGTATAGAAAAGTGGGTGGATAGAAAAAAGTAGAGGGATTTAGAACAGTTAGTGAGTTGGGTGAATAAATGGCAGATGGGTTTTAATTATGATAAACGCAATATAATGCATGTGGGTTATCATAATTTGAATTATAAGTATAATTGGATAGAAATAACTTTAACACTGTATTAACCTTAATACTGTGAAATGCTCTTTGAAAATCCAGATACACCCAAAATCTACACCATTTTCTTCATCTACATAAGCAGTAACTTTTTCAAAGAATGTCAAACGATTTGTAAAGTAAGATTTTCCCTTAGTTAACTACCCGTCTTAACTACCCAATAAAATTCTAAACTCTGTTAAATGACTTTGCAAAGCACCTGTTATCAGACTTTACAATACTATTTCCACAACTGATGTAGGACTTATAGGCCTATAATTACTTGGTGACAATATAGTGTAACTGGTAATTATTGGCTTCAATGCTCTGTTATCATAATGATTCCATAAAGTTAACTTAAAGTTTCAAATATTTTTGAATAACTTAACATAAAGTGATTTGATGGCATACAGAAGAGTATTTAAGCACCTTAACTATACTTTGTCAAAAGCTATGTGGTGGTTTGTTTACTCGTCAAAATAAACGCGGTCAATATGGCCGCCGAACCGTGTCCTTGTGTATTGCAATTTAAGTCGCTACAATCAAAATAGGAAAATAATCTTCATGAAAACAAGTCAAAAATAAAACTTCAAATGATGTGGCATATTACATAAAGTACAAAGGTTTAGTCAAACGCGATTTATTCTCTTATTAAACCTTAAGTTCACATGAAAAATTAATATCAGTTATTAACTATATTAATTTTTTACATAATTATTTGTTTATACAGAGCATTCGTTGAAGATTAATCAAATTTCATTCAACTACACGGTTTAATTTGGCGAGATGTTTTTGTCACATTTTCTTTACTGGTGATTTTCATATCAAACATTTTAAAATGTCAACCTACTTTTTAGAATAGTAATATTCCAGACTTCAGTTCTGAAAAACTACTCGTAGATATACCTATTTTTTATTTATAGATATATATATATTCATTCCAGCATGATTTTTCGCATACCACAGCCACTTCAGTTTCACTGAATTTTCTCTCTTACGTAAGGTGAATTTGATGAGCCAATAGCAAGTTATAATAGTTTATTTATGTTTTGTATTCAAATCCCGTTTAATGAATTGATTACGTTTAATCCTTTGTTTTATACCAAAAAAAAAGCACAATGCATCAGTATAAAGAAACAGGGAAATAAATTGAACGATGTAATGTAATTTATGTTTCTACGTGACAAATTGACGAGTTTTGTAATATGTTTATTTTTGTTTTTCACTGTATCTTCTATCCACATGCAAGGTAGCTCTAAATATAATTATATTCCTGCACGGACTTTTCCCGTCCTTATATACTCTCTATTTAAATATGTTAACGTTATTAAAGTTTGAAGAAGTTGATAATTAACAAGCTGGTACCGTGGTTTTTATTTCTAATGATATTTGTTTCAACTGTCTTCTGAGAAAAAACAAAACTCGAAGAACTTAAGATTACTGTGCTCCGAGGTTTAAAAGTGTCTAAGCAGTAATAAATAATACTGTCTAGTCAGTAAT